TTTTGTTTAAAATTATTCAAAAAACCAAATAAATATTATTCGGGGTAAACATGCTAATTGCTCACACTTTTGCATTAAGATGAGTGCGTCTAAACTAATTAATTGTTATTAATTATTTTTAACCTAATTAAATATTGCAGTCTTGCAAAGGAAATACTACTCAGTAATGCTTCAGAGGCATAAAAAATACTTGAGGCAACTCTTCAAAAGCATGTGCTAAACAAAGTCTAATCATATGGTAATGGTACAACAACAGTGCTAAGCACAGCATTTGAATTTGTTAAATTAAATTCAGGTAATCAATTTGCTATGCTAAAATTCAGTAGTAATGATTTTATCAACTAATCAATTATTTTTATAAAAAACAATTGTTCACATTTTCGTCTTGGACGGACACATTGCATCCCCGACTGCAAGCTTACATTGGCCCAATGTAAGTTTTAACATTGGCAAGTTTATTCCGTTGGGCCAACATTTAGCCAATGTTTTTTTTGGCGTATTAACTTCAATTCTCCAAATCAGTTTTTTGCAAATATCGTACAATATTGGGCCAACGTTTAGCCAATGTTTGTTTTTCGGCGTAATATTGCAATTCTACAAATCGGTTTTTTGCAATTATCGTATTCCGTTGGGTCAATATTTGGCCAATGTAGTTTAGGGTTAATATTTTGCTATAAAAATCTGTTCTTACATTTATACCGTAGCCAATATTCGGCTAATGTAGTTGCGGATTAGTATATACTTTTAAATTTGTTTCAAAACATTTTTAAAAATGGTATCTTTTGATAGAATAAAAAAAGGTTTTGTTTTCATTTTTTTGAAAATTATAAAAATAAGAAGCTATATTTATAAATCTTCTAAGAATCTTAAAAGGTTCCTTATAAGAAATAAACTTCAAGAGGTTCTCGTAACTTGATGTTTTGTTTTTTTTAAATAATGAAATATTTGTTAACATTTAAATAATATTCTTAAAACATTTTTTACTACAATCTAAATTATTAATGTTATAATAAAGGCAATAATCAAATTTTTTTTGTGTAAGATATTAAAGTTATTTTATAATTTTTATTACTCTATTGGCATTTTAAATGATTGACTTATCTAATAATCTTTATTAAATAAATGAAACATTTCAAATGTTCGATTTATTTAATAAAGAAGACATTTTAAATGTCTTCTTTATTAAATAAATCAAACATATGAAATGTCATACAGTATAATTTTTTTTTTTCATAATTTATTTATAATAGTTTAGATTATATAGCTATTATAAGATATATTATTAAAGGTATAAATAATATATATGTGGCATTGAAGTTGTTAGAAGTTGATATTTTACGTTTTAAATATGTCTCTTTTGTTTGATTTTTTTCTGTGTTTGATTATGAAACCCCATCTACTAACATATTAAAACAGTGTACAAAAAGTGATGTTACTAGAACTTATATTCTACTTAGAGCTTTCTAATATTCCATGTTTCTAAGGTTTAATTATTTTTTAATTCAATATCTCTGGATATTTTTCATATTTAATTTGCGTGCAACAATTAACAACTATAAGCTTATATACTAACTTTAGTTATAACTTTATTATTAACGATTTGATTTATAGATTTTTAAAGCAAAACAAGATTGAATTTAGCAGAAGGCTAAATTTCTGCTCTGGGAACAAAAAAAGAAGACAACGAAAATAACCAGTCAAAATAAAGATTAAAGAAACTTTTTATAGATAATATTATTTTTAAAAATTGTATTATTAAAACTCAGAATTAAAATATGTAAAAAAAATTATTTACAAACATTAGACAACTTTATTTTTCAAATAACCACACTTTTTTTGAAAGTGAGGTTATTTGAAAATAATATTTTTTTTTAGGAAAAGATAAAATTATAAGAGAAAATGAAGATTTTTTTGGATAAAAGAAACAATTTTTAGATAAAATAAAAATAAAATTTTTTACGGAAGAAATGTATTTCATTCTCTTGTAAAATTTTAATTTTGTGACTTGTCACATTTTCAAAATACGGCACTCAATTAAACTATTATGTTTTTTTGGCGCTACCTATTTAATTTTTCTGAAACTTATGTTTTTTTTAGTGTTCGTTCTTAGTGATCCTTAATAAAAAGATAAATACTAACATGTATAATAAGCTCCATACTAATATCCAACTTAACTAATAGCTAAGTTTTGAAAGTTTTGTCATTTAAAGCTTGTACAATCTTAGCATTTCCATTACAGTAGATATTAATATTAAACATTTTGGAATAACCATTTTTAAATATGGTCACGGAAATTCATCTGCTTTTTCAAAAAAGTCATTTAATTTTATAACAATAGTTGGCTACGAACCATGTTGGAGAAACATTGTTTTAATATGAATTTTTTTGTTGTACAGTGCAATCTGTATTTTATAAGATACACAAAACAATTCTCGTTAATGTTTAAGCTTAAAAATTAACAAGAATTGTTTCGTGCCAGTGCCAGAAATTGAATGCACACCTGCAAATTTCATTATTCATAAAAATATTATGAATCCATTAACAAGTATACATTTTTATCATTAAAAATTTTACCCTCTTTCTTTAATTTTATCTGTTTTATTAGTGATTGTTGTATTTACTTTCATAAATTCAAAGTATAATATGTAATTAGTTGTGTAGTTTCTTAATAATATAATTAACTTTAATGTTCAAGATAAAGTTGCATCCTTGAAAGATATGCTGGTATTATTGGCACAATTAGCAGGCATTGAAGTGTAACTTGGTGAACACATCAAATTCAGTTATAAGTATACATAACACATCAAATTCACATACAAAACACATCGAATTCAGTTATAAAAATTTGATTAACAAAGGTATGCTAATTATTGTATTGCCTGAAAGAGTGTCATTGCCATTAAGTCATTGTCATTGTATTGCCATGGGCAGTAGAGAATTCAAGTACTCTGGAAGAAAAAAGACCAGAAAAGACTTTAGTTAATGGTAAATGTTATTTTATCATCTGTTTAGGCATTTTGTATGATATCTTCGTACAAGTTATATACTTTAAATAAAATATTCTTTGAAGATTTCTTGTAAATGACATTTTATATTAAATCAAGTCTAAACAAAGGTTACTTTAAATATTGCCAGGTTGTGTATTTTTGCAGGTCAATTATTTGGCACAAATTGGAGTTAAAGACAAAGGAGATTGTATATATTTTTTTACTAAGAATTGTTTTTTAAAATGGCCTAGCTGTAAAATTAAGCTATACAGGGAGAGGACAATAAATTTGAATAGGAAAAATGTTAATTGCATATGTTGCTATTGGTAAGTGGTTAAAAAAAGTTTATTTTTTCAGTCTCAATTTTGCATTACAGAATTAATTTTAATTTGTTATGTTTCTTTGGTGCATAATTAAACAAACAACTATTTTTTTTTGTAGAAACTGTGAAGTCAAATAAGCATGGCTTATGCAGACATGTGATAGAGATAGCAGAAGAAAAAATAATATTCGTGGACACCAAATATCATAAGCTAAACACGATTCAATAACCAGTAGCTCAGCCAATATCGAAACTACTCTATAAGTTTTATAGTGAATTTTTTTATTTAAAACTCAATGATACAGTTTTTGGTTTAAGTTTGGTGTTTGCAATATGTATATTTAACCAAGAAATTATGTTAAATAAATAAATTTTTATACTTGTATCATACCTTCTTTTTTTTCTCTATAAATTTTTAATGTAGCGATGCAAATCATCTTATTTGTAACAACGATCTAATGTTGCATAAAACGTTAGGCCGATATATAACAAACGATATTGGGCCAATGTTGTTTACAACGTTAGGCCAATTTTGTATACAAATTGGGTCAATGTTGTATACAACTTTGGGTCAATGCTGTAATAAACATTGGCCTAACTTTATTTACAACGTTGGACCAATGTTGGGTAAACGTTGTATACAATATTGGGCCAATGTTGTTCAGAATGTTGGGCCAATACCTAACCAATGATCAAAACTGCATTTGGCCAACATCGACTTTCAACGTTTGGCTAATGCATCATCATGCATTAGCCCAACGTTGGTCCAATGTAAGCTTGCTGTATAGGATAAGATACGACGTTGATTGTATTTGCATTAACAATAACATCAGGCTAATATGTTTACCGGCTCATTTTTACCCCATGCTTCACCGTTAGACGTAGGTATGTATTGTCATGTTAAACAAACTTAACGCAAATTACCTACAAAGCATAAGACAGTTAAAAAACAAAAACAAATTTCATTCAACTTCATACAACATACTTTTACTCCGGTGATGAATTTACACAAACACAAATTATCGCTCGTTTTTAAAATTCAGCTATTATTTTAGATCGTTTAAATTTTACTTCAATTTGATATTAGCAACATTATTCAATCATAAAGAATTATACAATATCAGCCTGCTTTATCATATTTATCCGAGTTTGCTTCATCATATTTAACTACGCCTGCTTCATTATCCTCATCCCAGCCTATCATCTAACATTTGTAAGCATCAAAGTATATTTGCCAACTACAAAACATAACAACAACACAAAATATATATATATATATATATATATATATATATATATATATATATATATATATATATATATATATATATATTTATATATATATATATATATATATATATATATATATATATATATATATATATATACATATATATTTATATATATATATATATATATATATATATATATATATATATGTTTTAGAAAGTGCGCAAAAAAAGTTTAAAATGACGAGTAAAAGAAAATAAAGTTTACATATAATAATAGTAAAAGTAATATATTTAAACAAGTCTGAATAGATTACATCGCAAATATAAAAAAAAAACAATCAAGTAAACAGATGAAAAAACAAGAGCTTTTTTTTCTTTAATTTATTTTTAACTACCTTTTTTTTTTTAATTTTTTTTTTTTTTTTTTTTTTATTTATTTATTTTTTGTTTCTTATTTACTCACTTTTTAAATTTTTTTTTATTTAATTGCAGTTTATTTTTAAGATAAATGTATCTAAAATGTCAATATTTGTAGCTGCTAAAGGATGAAGTAATTAAATTAAACGTGCAGCACATCTTTAATAAAAGTTGCATAGTTTGCAGCTGTTGGAAAAAAATGCTTGTCAATTCTACTTTTGAATGCGTTAATTGACGGAGCCTTTTTGCACGGTAACTAATTCCAATCATTCACAATACCATTTGTAAAAAAATTATGTCGAGCATTATTGTGAGTGAAATTACGCGTTAATGCGTTGGATGGTGATCTGCGAAGTGGTGGGTTATGCCAATTATTAATTTAAAAATGTTTTCGAGTGTAGACTGTTAGATCAAGTCGCGACGTCGCCTGCGAGTTTCCAAAGAGATAAAATTGAGACGCCGACACCTTTTAGATATCATGAGGAACTTTTGTTGCTTTGTGCTGATTTTTTTCAATATCTTTGATGTCCCCCTTTAAGTAAGGACACCATACCGGAGTAGTGAATTCCAGGTGCGGTGTAACATATGTAGTATATAGCTTACCTCAAAGTTTCATATATCTTGATCTAAATGTTTTTTTTTAGTAGGCCAAGTATCATATTTGCTCTACGTGTCGCAACCTGTATGTGTTGATTCCATTATAAATTGTTAGATAAAAGATACAGGTCTCTTTCAATATCCGTTGCCGCTATAATAAGAGATGTATTACCATCATTCATTACATATTCATGATTTATATTTCCATGAACAAGGTGCATAACTTTACACTTAGCAACACTTAATTCCAAAGCCTTACGGTGCCTAAAAAAAAAAGGAGGACCTATTTTTAGAAACCTTTTTTAGAATGTCTATAAAATTCAAGTCTTATGCTAGAACAGTGATATGAAAAAAATAAATAAAAACATAAGTTAAAATGAAACCTTTTTTCACTCCCCCATCCGTTTTGAATAGTCACGCACCCCTCTTAACGTGTAAATTTTATGGACGATTTCTTTGGAAAGTACACTTTCCCAAATAAATTATAGCCATGCCCTAATTTCCGAAAAGATTTCAAGTTGGTGTTTATTTTCAAATTGCAAATTCCACTTTTGGTAGATCCTTTTTAATTATCGAACGAAGTATCACTCAAAAGGCGATCAAAGTCCACTTGAAAATTATACGTAATTTTGCGGAAATTGCATATGCAAAATTAAGTAAAATATGCTAAAAAAAGCTTCGAGAGCAAATGCTACTCTTACAGCCGTGAAGGAACAAAAGTGAACTTCAATATTGTTCTAATTGCCACTGTTATATCTGTTTTGAAACCGTTAATCTTATTGTGATTTTATAATTATTGTTTTGTCAATATCACTGTGCCTTGTTTTCATAACATTCAATTCTTCATTGTCTTTGATTTAGTTAACATTTTTGTGTAAATAGAATAATGTCAATAAGGTAAACAATTCTATAAAAAGGTTTGTGTTTTTTTAATAATCATGAACGTTTTTTTTTATCTATTACAAGATACAGGACATTTTTTAGAGCTATTTACATTTTTAGAGCTATTTACATTTTTAATTTAAAATTTGAATCATGTGGCTTCGTTCTTGGTACCAAGAACAAGAGCTATTTTAGTTTTTTCACTAGTTTTTGGCCCTGAACATAGATCTTGTTGTAACCATGGTCTATGACATTGTCACAACCATGCCCTAATTATTGTCTGTTATGATATGTTCATTATCTTTTAAGACTTAAACATGTTGGACAAATTTTTTTCAAATAAATGCAACTTTAACTTAAGTTGGTTAATAATGCACCCTCCTAGAGCTTCTTTATCTAACTTTGATGTTTGTTAAATGTATTAAATATATCAGAGTTTTATTGGCAGTGTGCAGATGCAATAAACCATTCAACAACCAACGAGCACTCTAATAATGTGTTGAAACTTGATAATTTTTTAGTAAATCCACAGATGGAATATTTTGCATCACTCTGTCATCTTTTTATGTCGAAGATTATTAAAAAAAAAATCTAAAAAATACATCATGGGTTTAGCAAATTGATAATAGTTGCAAAACATCTTCCATATACAGACAATACATAAATTAGATTTATGGACACTTGAACAACAATGACACAGATTTGATCTAAAAGAAGTATACAAGATAATGTATGAGTTTTATAGGTCTGTTCTATAAGATATTCTTTGAATCAGTGAAAAACAAAAGAAGAAATGATAACATTTTTTCTTAGAACATGTAATTGACCACTGGATTTAATATCAATACTATCTCAGTCATTTTCCAGAATTTTTTATAGCATGATTCAACAAGTTGTGTATTAAAAAAATGGGTTTTGTCATGGACTAACATCTACGTAGTTTGTTATGTCTAAATGACATTATTACATAACTAATGACGCCATTAGTAACTAATAAAAAAATAAATAATCTTTTTATATAAATGTTGCTAGTTATATTTCATTTTCAACTTTCAAAATTATGTTATTAGCCATGCTTTATATTTGCAACATGGGGTTTAGATTTTGGTTTTACAGAGCCTAGAATTCGGTATACTAGTAACACAATGATTTGAATTTCCAGCGTTTTACTTTAGCTCTGTCACGTGTATCCTTATCAGCTTCTAAAACTGAACATCAATTAAATGATTAGTTTTACTTATTTGCTCTCCTCATCACAAAGTTTATTGATGAATTTTAATTATTAATCAAAATCACTGTAAAATAAGTAAAATAGCAAAAGCTATTATGCATTATTCTAGATTATTATATTTTTTTTTAGCTCTGGTTCAGATTTGTCCGATAATGAAGACATTACTGATACATATAAAGTAGAAGAAGACACTACAACTTTGAAAGATTTTTTTTAAATCTTTGATATGATTATTAATATAATATAATATCTCAATGAGTTTAAGATTTTAGACAACACCAAGCCTTGCATTTGCGATTCAGTTGAGGAAGCTACTCGATTTCTTCATAGTTATGAAATCAGTAATTCTGTTAGGTTTGCTGCCCTTTCCACTCCAAAGAGCTTTGAAAGTTCAGGTATAATATATATTTTTAACTCAAGCTTACATTATCTGGAAAAGTGACAATATTTACTTTTATAAATATCTAAAGTTTTGTGAACTCGGTGTAGTTATGGTGGTTTTAAAAATTCTATTTTTTCCATGTTATTTTTCTTTTCTTTTTTTAATTCAGCAAAAAAACTGTTGATAAATGGATTTAATTTAGTAAATTTACATGACTGGAATTTACTTTTTTGACCATTAATTGACATTGGATTGGAACATTAAAACAAACATCACCACAAACAAAGTAAGTAGTAATAAAACCACACTTAAAAAAATTTAATCTGAGTTAAGGTAAGAAGTAACTCAAAAAATCTTAAATGCTAATGTTTTTAATTGTACTATGACAATTACTCTGCTCTGATTGGCAAAACAAGTTATTGGTTTGACATCTGGTTGTAAGAAGTGGCTTCCACTCTTCTAGAATGTCGTATTTATATTTAAAAAATTGCATTACGTCGATTCATGGGAACAACACAATGGTGTAATTTTCATCAGTTTTTAATAATCATTAACTAACAACCTTGATTTTTATATTCTTGAAAACGCATTTTTCATTCCTCAACTTATTATTTAACCTGGTGGATACACAGGGGATGCACCCACGTTTTATAGATGATCACTGTAAATAATATAAACTTTTAATTATAAATCATTTTATGTTTAACCTATTGTACATTTTTTATTTGCTTTTGTTTTTCTTTAATTTCTGATTAATTTGCATATTGAGTTGTCAGAATATCAGCATGTGCTTCAGAAAAAAAACTATAAACGAAATTATGTACTATACATTTTCAGTTGGATGTACAATTTAATAGCCTAATAATAGCCTTTTCTTTTTTTTTTTTTTTTTTTTTACAGGAGACCCACTGGATTCAATTTGGAAATGTAAACGATCCAATTTTAGTAAAATATCAATAAACAAGGCTTCTTTTTTTTTTAAACGTAATTGGAACCTTTGCTTTGATAAACTTACTGTTTTTCTAATATACCTAACATGTTTAATTAATTACTTTGACTTGGACAAAATAAACTTAAGCTAGATTTTAAAAAAATTGATTCTATAAACTGGTGCTTATATACGCCGTATTGGTGCAATTTATTTTGCATAGTATAAAGATTTTCATGAAGGTACTTAATTTGACAGCATGTATCTATTGAAATCTGTAATTTTTGTGTAACTAAATGTTATTAGATAAATAAACGAGGAACTTTTATTTTAAAACGCTGTAAAAGCAAACAAATTATACTTGTATATATTTTAAGAAGAAATAATGTTATTTGTACTATAAAATAATTATGGGGAAACAATGACTGTTATTTTAATTTCTGCATACGCGCGAAATATATGAATTTATAATATTTAAATATTTCTTACGAAAACCCAGACCAAAAATTGACTAAAAAAAAATTTGGCTTCCTTTTTCAGATTTTATTATATTTAAAAATAAGTGCGTTATATAGATGAAGTGATTATCATTCTTTATTATTATTAGTTTAGCTCAGTCTTTTGAATTTTTTTTTTTAATTATTGGTTTATTCTATTCCTAAGTTTGTTAGAAACTGTATAGAAATGTTATATTTTAATTAATATTAAATTAAATGTGATATTAAAATCAAAATAAAGTTAAATTAATTGCACCTGAATAGATTTGAACAAGAATCTGTTGTGAAAAGACAAATTTTTTCCAAAAATTTTATTTAACGCAATTGAGGAAAATCAATATCCCTTTAAAATGATGTTCTTTACACTTTGTGTTAGTTGTAGTCAGACTTTTAAGTAATGTTAAAAAAAGAGAACAATGATTGTTTAAATATAATTAGAGGTGCGACACACACAAAAAAAACAAATGGTGTGAATTAGAAATATAATGATTCAATAGTTAATAAATCACCTTAACTACATCGTTGTTCTAATGTGTGTGCATAATAATTCTGCACAATCACATGATTTGAAATCATACACAAAACATGATATCCTAATTTCCTTGCTTAGCTATACATGGAACCCAACATAAAGTATTATGGGAAACATCTGAAGACTATGCTACTCCTTATATTATATTATCTACAAACAGATACAATTGTCACCATGGTCTCGATCGGAACGCTGCTGCAAAAAGGAAGCATAATGAAGCAAAAGAAAATCAGGTAAAGATTTTCCTATTTTTACAATTCGCATCGTTGTAAAATAAATATATGTTTGGCTTTTTTTTTTTAAAGAAAGTGGATCATTTATACATAACTGATTATGTTATCATGCAAGATACTAAAAAGTTCAATTGTCCTGCAAAAGCCATTATGAAAGAAGTGGTATATTTCACTGACTTCAAGTCAGTGAAATATACCACTTCTTTCATAACAAATCTACAGACATTACAATGTTCTATTAAATAGGAAATCATTTTATAAATTATTACGCACTTACAATATTTTATTAAGTTCTTAACTGTTTACTGTCGATCTATTACTTTTGAAATAATCTTTGTTTAAATTTCTTATTTAAATATTTTTTTCAGCTTATTAATTCCAGTAACAATTGCAAGAAGCAACAATCAAAAGTAATAAAATATTCGTTGCTACAAAAAAAGTATGTGGTTTTTAGTCGAAAAATTATTGTTGAGATAGACTGCTTAAATGATCACAAAAATCACCCTCTTGGCAAGGTATTAATGCTAGAGTTTTCTTAACAGTGTTTAAATAGTCTTATTTTAACTATAACCAATAGTT